CAATAAAGTTATCCACAATGTCATGAAATCTGTAATGCTGCTACCTTTTTATTCCTGGTAGTTTGTGTTCTCATTCTCTCTTTCTCTCTCTCTCTCTCTCTCTCTCTCTCTCTCTCTCTCTCTCTCTCTCTCTCTCTCTCTCTCTATATATATATATATGATTAGAGTTTAATCAATTTTATTAATCTTCTAAAAGAACCAGTTTTTGATTTTGTTGATTTCCTCTATCATTTTGCCTTTTTTATTTCATTGACTTCTACTCTTATAGTACGTCCTTCCTTTGGGTAGAGCTGAATCTTTTTCTAGTTTTTAACAAAGGATGCTGAAGTCCAATGTGCATTTTAAAGGAGAATTCAAGCACATCCCTACCCCCAGCTCACTGCTCCCCATGCCCCCACAATTCCCCACTGACCTTCAAGGCAGGTGTGGGTCTGAATGGCTGCTCACTGGGCCTACCCTGCCTTGCTCCTTTCTCCTGAAACCCTCTGCTCTGCAGGCCCCTGGGCTGCTGGGCCAGTGCTGCCCCCTAGTGGTTCTGGTGAGACCTGCAGGCGTCACTCCCCCTGGTGGAGCAAGTGCGGCTCATGGAAAGTCGAGTCTCCACTAACAAGAAAGGCTCACAGAACTCACAGTGAAGGACAGGGTTGCAATGAAATTTGCCTGAAGACAAGAGAGCGCCTCCTAGAGCCTAGCAGCCTGGTGTGAATTCTGGCTCACATGAACCAGCTGCATGTCCTTGTGCAAATGACCCCAACTTTCTGTGTCTCAAGCTTCGCGTCTGTGACAGCAGGCAATAACAGCATGGAAGGATGAGTCAAGTGACTTCACGAGAGTCAGAGCAGAGGTTGCCCGGGTTGAGGCCGCAAGGAGTCTGCTGTCATTATTCCCTCGCCTCTCCTTGGAGGGCATGTAGGGGGCAGGGGGTGGCATTGTGGAGCAGCATGGGTGTGGGGTGGGAGGCTGATGAGAAATGAGTGGTAGCTGCTCATTTCCCTCCTGTGGGTTGGGCCGCCTGCACCCTGCCCTAGCTGGGTGACTCTGGAGATTTTCCTCAACCCCTCTGCCCTTCTCAAAGGGAGACCTTGTGGCAGAACCTCCCTCAAAGGACTGTGTGGAGGATTAGATAAGTGATTGCCAGTAACGCACGTAGGCCACCCGGCACGCAGCAGGGAGCAATAAATGCAAGCGCATTTCATCATTCTTACCCCGACTCACTGATCCTCATGCCCATGTGTGACAGAATCGGCTGGAAATGCCAATTTTTCCACTTTTCTTTCCTCCTTTCCATGTTACCCCAGAAACCAGAAGACGCAACAGTCCACTTGGAAAGGAAACTTACTCCCCCACAGTTCTCCTTTTTAAAGGAATGGCCTTTGTGTTAAGATTCCAATCTCTAGTCCTCTATGACTGCTAAAAAATATATGAAAGAAACGAATATCTAAATCAATCATGAATTTCACCCCTTAGAAGAGTGGTTCTCAGTGGACGAGCTAGCCCCCTGCATCACCTCCCTAGGGGGATGGTCCCAAATGCTGTCTCCTGGTACCCCAGGCCCTACTGAATCTGATGCAGGAATCTTCATTGTATGCCTCACCCACTCAGCAGCTCCCTGGAGTTTGAGGATCTCCACCTTTGGCTGAGGGTCTGGAGCTGCCTTTGAGCCCATGGAGAGAGAGGAAGGGGCCGCCTGAAGGTCATCAGGTCATTGGAGGGTGTTTGTGAGCAAAAGCCTGCTTGGCCCTGGGATCAGCCAAGCTCCTGCCTCCTCACTTTGCAGCATTAGCTGTGAGCTGGGGCCCGCTAGGCCTCTACTGAGGCACAATGGCCCCCAATTCCTATAGGAAAGATCCAGCCACACACGCCTTCCTTCCTTGCTCCAACCCATTGAGTCCTTTCCTGCCGCAGGGCCTTTGCCCTGTGGGTCCCTCTGCCAGGCACTCCCTTCCGCTAGCTGCACCCCAGGCTTATTCCACCCTCTCCTCTGGGACTCAGATGAAGTGTCACCTCCTTTGAGAAACCCTCTCTCCCCACAAGTAGGCTCCCTGCTGTGCTCACGTCACCTACCTTTTCCCCTAACACAACTTGTCATTATTTCTCCTATTAGTTTGTCTTGTTCGGGTTGTCCCCAGACTACGATCTACTGGAGAAGCCAAGTGTCTGCTATCACCTAGAGCCTGGCTGACACTAAATTGTGGCTGAATGGATAAATAAATGTCTAGTCATTTCAAACTCCTCAAAAGCCAGTTACCCAGGAGAGCAGGGGGGTGTCCCTGTCCGCGGGCATGCTGCAGAGGATGTGCAAAACCTGGTGCTGTAAGCGTCGTGTACTAACGAGGTGCCATTTTCTTTATTTCTTTAAAGCTATACCCAAGTTTTGGCCACATTTTCAAAATACCTCTACCCCAGCCCCTCCCCATCTCCTTCCTCCCCCTACCCCATCACCCCCCAACCCGACCCAAAGGGAAAGCTTGTTCTAAGGGAAATTATTTGAGATGGGACAGGACATTGCTGCAGTGTGAGGTTTAGCTGTTCAGCAGCTCTTCGCAAAGCTGCAGCGGGGCAGTGCCTGCGGGGATGGCGGTGTGCACAGGCTGCTCGAGCTCTGCAGGCTCTGGGCTTCTTGGGGTCTTGGTCCCCGCAGGTGTGGTATGAGGGTGGGGTGAGATCACACACAGAGCAGGCTTGGCACCATGAATGAGGCCCAACAAATAAATGTCAGGACCCCACCCTTGCAGGTATTGCTTTACGGAGGCGCATTCCTCATCCTCCCTCCCCTGCTCCCGGAGCCCCTGGGAGGGCGGGGCAGCACCAGCTAACTTAAGCCTTTTCCCTTAAATGTCAGCTCAAGCGCCACCTCCCCAGGGAGATCTTTCCTGCGGTTCCCTGTGCTCCTGTTGTCCAGGCCTCCCTTCACTGTGCCCCTTCCAGGTGGCTCCCATCTCCCTGTCACTGGGGGGTGGGGGACACACTCGTGTTCATGACAGGGAGAGTAGAAGACGGTCTGCCTCCCTATGGGCACGTGAGCGCGGTGAAGAGCCTGCTGGTCACTCTGGCACAAGCCAGGGCTTAAGGACTGCAGCTGCCCACCGTCAGGTCAGACATCTACCCACCCCCTCCAGGCTCTGAACCAGCCCCCTAGGCAGAATTCTGCCTGTGACAGGTGCCAAGCAGCACAGCTGTCCTTCGGGAAAGTGCTCGCTAGGATGGCACGCTTACAAGGGTGTAATCTGCTGTCCCTGGCAGCTTCTCTGGGTCCTTCGTACCTGACATCACTCGCTCGGCCAGTTGCCATGGTTTGCAGGCAAGGAAGTTGTGGCTGGGGAGGAGAGACTGAGGATGGCAGTACCATAGTTACACGGTTTCCGAGCACACCTCTCACTCCCTTTCATCTTCACTACAACCCTGAGCTCAGCACTGTCCTCAGCTTCCTTGTACAGATCTGGAAACTGAGTCTGCTGAGGAGGAGAGGCAGGATTTGCACTCGTCTGTGTGGCTCAAGTTTTGTGCTCCTCACCACCTTAGGATTCTGCATCAAGCTGGCTCCGGGGCTCTTCCAGCAGAGCCTTCCTGCTCCCTCGTCAGGCACCAGGATCCAAAAGTCTACACCCTCTGCCTCATTGTTTCTTTAGACTCAGTGGCCCTGAGAACCACAGCCTGTGATGGCTCAGGACCGGGGCCCGCCCCACCCCAGGTGCAGCCCTCCAAGGGCCGAGGACAACCAGGCCCACTCTCCAATTTTCTTGACACAAAAATAACAAAATACCAACTGGTTACACAAGACCAGGAAGAGCAGAAGAATATATTTCAGAGTAATTGATACTGTACAAACATCCCCAAGTGGGGCATGAACCCTGAGAAATGGCCCCAGATAGGGGAAGACTTCACCCTGAACTAAGGCTTTCAGGGTGATCTCTTAAGAAACCAGACCCAAGGGCCCCGAGATGACCCTAGGGATTCTATAAAAATGACGCGCCCTGCAAACCCCTGCAGCCTAGAGGGCTATAAGAAAGGCTTTCATTGTCTTCGAGTTCAACAGCAGCTGAATTTTGAGGCTCAGCTCCCCACTCTCAGGCCTGCGTGGCTGCAGGGGAGAGGGCGAGGGACATGTGGTAGGAGGAGAGGTCAGCAAGAACTCCAGGAGGCCCCTCAGGGCCCAGAGGCTTGCTCAGAGTTTGCAGGACAAACTGAAAGGTCTGACTTAGGTGTTAAAGTGATAGCTCAGGCTGCTGCCTAGAAAAGACTGCAGGCGGTAATGGGAGAAACCAGGCAGAAGGCGTCACAAGCATGCAGACCCGGGTCATGGCTGCTCAGGATGAGTCTTAAGACGAGGTCAGATTCTACAAGTGTTCACATGATTTCCTGACAGAAGGCAGTGAGAGGCAAGAAAGAGGAGCCAAGGGTGACTTCAGGGCAGGGTTGGGGCTGCCAGGTGGTTGTGGTGCCATTTCTTGAGATGTTGAGGGCAAAGGGATTTGAACTGAATGCCCCAAACCCAGAGCAACAAGGCAAAGCCAATGCTTTGGCTTCAAGGTTCTCTGTCCCCTTCCTGTAAATCTTGTCCACAAGCCAGTCAGCTAGCCAGCCGATCATTCACTCATTCGTGTGTATCATTTAACAAACACCATCAGTAAACCACGTGGTAAACACGGAGGGGGGTGGGTACATGAGGATTAGTTAGACCTACCCTTGCCCTCCTGAAGCATAGTTTGGTGGAAGATTCAGAGACAGTCATCCTCACTCATTCATGTATTCATTCGTCACTTAGCAGCTCAACAATTCATTAGCACTGCATTTCTGGCAAGCAAGCATCGCGGTAATCATTGAGCATGCCCTTGCCAAAGAGGAAGTCCTAGTCTACTCTGAGAGCCTCGGTGAGCCATCTTCATTCATTCATTCATTGAAGGGCCACCAACATCCAACCTGAGCAAGGTCTGGGAAAGGACTTCTGCTGGATGACTCAACAGTGGATTCCACCAAGCGTCTCCAAGCAACAAGGCTTCCCGTCTAGCACCCTGGACTCCCTGCGGGGTTCCACCCGCTACCCTCACTATGTGAACCAACCCTGGTGGCAGCAGCCCCAGCCCAACACGACACCTCCCCACAACATGCTGGGGGCTAGTTTTGGTGTCACATCCCACAGAAAACCATGAGCCCATCCACTCAGGCAGTCGTCCTTGCTGCCATCCATCCAGGCACCTTCTGACCGTCCTGGACACCCACAGGTCCCAGAACCCAAGATGCAGCCCCTCTGGGGGTTCCTGGTCCTCTTTAGCTTGCTGCTCTTGCCTTCGGCACTGCATAAACAGCCCTGGTCTGACCAGGACGACATCGCCACACAAAGCAAATCTACCCTGGCAATAGGTAAGCTAAGCCCACGCTCTGTCTCTGTCACGGAGACCGTGGGAATGGTGCCACCTGGACCCTTGCTTGGGAGGCCACTGGTCAATCTTTTCTTTCTTTGTCCTTAGGTATGGAAAATTGAGGTTGAGTTGTTCCTGTGCCAACTCATACTACAGCGTGGTGATCATGGCAGCCCCTCTTGTTTTATTTCGTGTTACTTCCCCTTTACCTCTTGTGTGAACTCTATTTCCCTCTCCCTTGGCAGGCACTGAGGGGTGTTTACTCTAGATCTTCAAATATCTTTGCAAAACACGCAGAGATTTTGTTGCAAGCAGTGGGGTTCTCTACTAAATGGTGCATAGATCAGATAATGACATCAGGCATTTGCGAAATCAGCCTTATTTGAGACTAGATTGGCAAAGATTGGAGATAAACTCAAATCTGCCTCCTGGATACGCATGGAAATGAGGTTATACAGGTTTTGGGGACCAGAGTTGGGATCAAAGGAGTTAAATGTTATTGACTGAGAAGAGGGTGGGGGACAAAGAACTATGGACTTGGCTGAGTGGAGTTCATTGGCCAGTCACAGGGCATTTCATACATGAAGAAGGAAGAGGCCTTTCTACAGATAACTAGAGTTTTGAATTCCTGTGAGTGTACCCCTGCCTCTGGGTACCCCCTCCTCCTCTGTGTTCTCAGTGTCCAGCTAGCCTTTCTGAGCAGTTCGAGGTTGGTTGTTTCTACTTGCTCAGCTGCGACAGATAAACTGTCTATAAATATGTCTCAAAAAGATAAGGTTTTATTCTTTTCTTTCTTGTACTTTGCAGTCTGAGACCAATTTAACCATTTAGACTTGGCTTTAATCCCTCCCTAAGGACTATGCATTCCTCGGTCTTGCAAGATTTGGGGGCAATGACCACGCGGGACAAACTTTAACATTTTTTTACAATGTAGAGATTGAGTTATTCAATTATTTTCTATCATCAGATTTCAGTCCTGAGAATAGAGTTGTCCAATTACGTAGTGTGTCCAGTTTCTGGAGGGAGTCCTCTAAGTGGGTCCCAAAGTTAGCTTTCTACTGTGCAAGCAATAGGAGGCATTTCTATGCAAACCAAAGATAAACAAAGGTTAAAAGTGGAAGCAAACCACAAATCCACTTGGGCTGAGGGCTGTCCATGGAGGAGATTTGTAGATGTCAACCTCGAAGCATCTTCAGATGACAGTCTCCTGGGCTGTGACCTGTGTCCCATTTGTTAGTCTGAGCTCCAGACTTTAAATGCTCCACTGTGGAACCATCAGCCAGAAGAGCTCCTTTTAGCAGCTACTGCCTGAAGACCCTCTGCGGGTGTGTCCCCTCCGCCCTCCAAAGCATCATTTCAAAGATGAAGCATGTGGATTATTTTTTTGGGGGGTGATGTGAACTACTAGCCAGAGTGGGAGTACCAGCTTATAATCCAGGCCTCCTGCCTCCACCCCCACCTTTTCCAGGACATTGTGCAGTGTCACTGGCCCTCTGTCCATTTCCAGTTATTGCCCAGGGCCTCGTGAAGCACAATGTGGAGTGCCGAATCCAGAACCTCCGCCTCCTGGACAGTCTGAAAGCCCTTGGCCAGATGGCCCCAGGCATCATGGGCTGGCTGATTAGCAACATGAAACTCCAGCAGCAGCAGGAAGGCAGGTGAGTACCTGAAGCTCCTCCCTGGACCTGGGACTCTATAAAGTGGTGGGTCAGGACACTGGTGGAGAGGGAAGGAAGGGAGAATAAAGAAAGGATAGAAAGCCCAGCAAAGAATAAATGAGGGCGCAATATTAAGGATCAGGGGAGAGCAGGGTGTTTAAATTGAAGATTTGGGAGTAAAAGTGTGTGCATTTTATTCCAAGAGCAGTGGAAAATGTTGAATGTTAAGAGAATGTTAGGGCCCCTCTGGCTATTCCTTGGGGATTAGTTTGTAGAGGGGCCAAGATCCTGGCAAGGAACCCACAGAGAAACTAGACACTCTCCAGGCAAGAGGTGATGATGACAGTAACAGGTGATGGGAGTGGCCAAACTCAGGCTAAGTTTCACAAGCAGAGCCAGCACAGTTCATTAGCGGGTTGAATGTGAGATGAGGGATGGAGAGTGGTCAAAGATTGCTCATGGGGTTTGTTTCTGGGCAGCTGATGGTGGGCTGTCCATTGAGGGTGGGTGTTGGTCTGGAATAGACTCAGCGTCTGGTCTACAGTTGGCTGTGGGCCATACAGACCTGTTGTGTGAAACTAGAAGGACCCCTGCGACAGCTCGCAGCCCGGGGCTCCTGCAGGTGGCACTTGTCCTCAGAGCACCAGTAAAACCCCCATTGCCAGGTCCTTTTTCTGGATGGTCCAATCCCGTTTGTCAGTCCCAGGCCTTGGCGTCTGAGGCCCCTCACCCTTGCTAGGCCTCTGTTCCTCCCTTTCTAGCACCAACATCACCAACGTTCACCTGGACTATGGCAGGATCCAGATGTGCTTGCAAGAGGAGTGGTTCTCAGCAAACATCTCACATGACTTTGACATTGAATTGAGACTGTGAGTCGTACAGAAGCTGGGTCTGAGAGGAGCGGTTCCTCCTTACTGGGAACCTGCAAACTGAGGGTGGGGGAGGATTTGACAGCAGATTTTTCTGAATCCTGGCTTCCAAACTCACTTGCTGTGTGACCTTGAGCAAGACACAAGTTTTGTGTCTGAACCCTGATTTCTTTAGCTTAAATGTGGAAGGTGGTCATTTATCAGTGGAGACTGACCTTCTGCTCATTTACACTTACATGAGTTCATTATCTAGGGTCTAATTTTTAAAAAGAGAATCCCTTTATTTCATCACCCTTCCTGTCTTTTGTCCTTTAACATCCACTACCCTCAAGGGAAGGGAGTTCCGGGTTAACTGATAAAGTTAACAGAGATTAACTCTCAACTTTTGAATTTCCAAAGCTTCCCAATCTACTTAAAGGATAATCAGAGGCAACTGTGGCTAATGGCAGTTTTCTCCTCAGTCTCGGGTCATAGCATTTGGTGTGCAGACAACGAGACCCCCGGGCTGGTGTGTTAAGTGGATTCAGAGTGGGGATGGCGCCCACCCTCATGGAGAGCCCTTCTTCATGTTGACTGCTCTACCCCCGTCTACTCTTTGCTGCCTTTTCTCCTTCCCCCCTCCTCTTTCCTGTCCACAGGCCCTTCAATAACAAGATCACCAAGATGCATGTGTGCATGATGCTCGTTGCGGAGTTCTGGCTGGACAAAGACGTGTTTGGCCGAAGGAATCTGGTGATAGGCAAATGCTCCATGGAGCCCAGCAGTGTCCACACAACAATCCTGACTGTGTAAGGTCCCAGCTCCACCTCCCCAGGACTGGGCTCCCTCCTGACCAGGAGGACATGCCACAAACAGACCTCACCTTTTCCTTAGGATATACTCCTCTTCCCACCAGGTGGGAGCCCCGAGCTGACCTTGCCAGCCTCCCAGAAACTGGGCTCTTCCTCCTGACTCCCCATGTCCCTTCTGCACAATCTCTGACCTCCCAGAAGCCCTTGCTTCCGCTCTTTCACAACCAATGTCCCTGCATCGTCCACTTCCTGGGACCTCCTCCAACATACCATGGCTCAGACCTCAACTCTTTCATTCTACTCTCCCCCTACAGCAGAAGTAGCTTTCTGGCACAGAAATCTGGTCACATCTCCAGCTCCTGCTCCAAACTTTCCTGTGGGGTCTCACCTTCCTGTGGTTCTCCAATACCCTCTGAACCTCCTGGGTGTCAGGGCCCTTCTGGAGCTTATCTTGCCCAATGCTGCAGCCCTTTGCCCTCTAGTCTTTCTGGAAGACCTACCCCTCCATCAACCCGTTGTGCATTTTCACACCACCATGCCTTTACACGTGCCGACCCTTCACCTGGAGTGACCTTCCTTCTTTAAAGTCTTCCTCATCACACATGCATTCAACAAATATTTTCTGAGAACCTGCTATGTGCCAGGTACGACATGCTTGATGCTAGGGATACAGTAATGAAAACAACAGCGATAAATGAGTATCTACACACTGGCTGACCAAGTCTGTCAACCTCAGCAGACGCTGAGTCCTTTTATTGAGGGCAAGATATGTGTTTGATTTTGCTTTGGAATTCCAGAACACCAAAAGCAACTAAATCCTCAGCAAATGTCCATTCATTTATTCATAGCTGTTCACTGAATGCTTGGATCATGCCAGACATTCCTGGAGTGGACAGTGCAAAGGAGAGACTGGACCCTGGAGCTCTACTCACCTGGTTATAGTCTAAGCAACATAGCAAAGCACATCACCTGTCTGAGCTGCCTCTGTCCGAGTTGTCACTGACAGTGATGTCTTGTTAGGGCTGGTGAGGACTGAGTGACTGCGTAGTCGTGCTCAGTACAAGGCACTCAGCATTAGTGTGATCTGTATTTATCTGTTCTGTTCTATCTACCTCTTTCTAGTGATATTCCTCCAAAGATAAAACATTTTCTCCGCCACCTTAGAGAAAATCTGGATAAAGTCATCCCACACCTTATAGAAAGTCAAGTAAGTTGGAGAAAAACATTTTTGTCTTAGGCGTCCTTGAGTCTGAGGGTCAGGGCACATATAACAAGGAGCTTCTAACCTTGGGCTTTCAAACCTGAAAGATCTCAACCCAAGTTGGGATCTTTGCCATCTGCTGGTCCGACTTTGCCATCTGCTGGTCCTGTGTCCTCGGACAAGTGATGTAGCCTCCCTGAGCCCCAGCTTCTGCATCAGTCCTGTGGGAACCACTTAAGTCCCCATCCCTAGAGTTGTCTTGGGATTTAAGGAGACAAAGCGAGGAAGCGCTATGCATGGTACTTAACATGTAGCTGGACCTCGGTACGAGGAAACCACTCTTGCCATGATTCCGGAAATCCAGCAGAGTCTAAGCTTCTGGCCACAAGCCCTCCCGCTTGCCTTGCCCAGTCCCTGGTCTGATCCTTCGCTCTGTGCTCGTGGCCCAGGTGTGTCCTTTGATCAACGAAATCCTCAGGCAGCTGGATGTGAAACTGCTGAAGAGCCTCATGGGTGAGTGTGTCTGTCTATCCAGAGAGGATGGGGACTGGCAAGTGGCTAGTAGAAGTGCCCCTTCTGGGGCCCCAGTGAGGCTGCTGGGGCATCTGGACATACTGTGCCCTGACCCTGAAACTACCTGCAGCTGTAGCCCTGTCTCCTACCACCCATCCCTGATCATTTGGGCACACAGAGCTTTTTCTCTTCTACACATGCACAAATCTCTTTCCTACCCCAGGAAACTTCCTACCCTTATGGAACACTTAGAGGTGACTATATTATGGCAACCATTACTGTCCATGAGAGAGCTGGACAGCAGTGGGCCAACCTACCCAGCAGGCTGTGTCCACCCAGTCCCAAACCCCCAGGTTACTAGAGATTGCAACTTCAGCACCCACTCCAGTAGCAGTGCTGGCCTCTCCCCTCCCTGCCCTTGCAGACATCACAGTCTAGTGACTGGAAGCACGTAAGACAAGAAGCACATGGCTAGGTACCATTTAGAAAGAGTTTGAACACAAATGCTCCTGGCGCTGGCCCTTGGTCTACAGAGATGATGACAAGCTCCGTGTGTGGATCTGGGGGTGAAGGGGCGGGCACACTGGTGACTGATGCTGCCTCTCCTCCCTACAGAACAGGCTGCTGCTCATGACCTCGACCAGCTGTGAGTCCAGTCAACTCGCCACACACCAGGCTTAAGCATCCTTTAGCTGCTGACTGATGATCAGAAGAAAATTCGACATCAGGGAGCCCTAAGTCTCCCTTAGAGTGGGGCATCCGCTGCCTTGAAACCATGGGCCCTGTGGACATCCAGCCCTCTCTCAAAATAAATTCTCTGTCTGAAGTATGCAGAGGTCCCCAGCTTGGTTCTGAGGTTTGGGTTTCTGCGTCAGACCTGATGTTGGTCTGTCCTAAGACTAAATTGACCTGGAATTGCTCTTTGGCCCTGAAATATCAAGCACCCTTTCTTTTCCTGGATTTGTCAGCCAGATACCCATGCATGGATTTGCTCACCCATGCAGGGAGGATCCTATTGAAACTTCCCATGCCCTTTATTCCCTCAACTCTTATTTACTGAGCACCTACTATATGCCAAGCACTCTGATGGGCTCCAAGGGAGTGTAAAGAAAGGGTAAGAGGAAAAGCACAAACACTGGTGCTGAACAGATCTGAGTTTAATTTCAATTCAACCCAACGAGATGGCCCATAAGGCTAAAGATCATGTAACTCAGGGTGAGCACTGGCACACCCCAGTGCAGGGCTGGCGCGCAGGGTGCACTCCCAGGAGTCCGTGAATATTGGCCTTATGACTCATCAGCTGCGATGGGGACATGGCACTTTACCTTTTGGTTTTCTTCACCTACAAAATGGGGACAGACATCTTGTAGGCTATGGAGCACTGGAAGGAAGGATATGGAGCCACTGGTGGAAGGAGATTGTAGCACCATTTTATAAAACTGGATGGCTGCATCTTCTTAAGTGCCACATATGCCTGCCTGTGACCCAGCCATCTCTCCCTGCCCCCAGGGCATGTTCAACAGAAACACGTGCACACGGGGCCCCACAATACGTGCACAGGATTGCTCACAGCAGGATTGTCCTAACAGCCCCAAGGCAAAAACGCCCTAGATGGCCATCAAAGAATGGACACACAGAATGAATGGGTAGCTCTCGCATGAGTTGATAGCCCAGTGAAATACTTGACAGTGATGAGAACGGAAAACAGCCTGCAACTGCTTGGGACCACAAGGTGGACCTCAGACACACAGACAACCAGCGCACGCATTGCAGCCCCAGCAAAACTAACACTTGCAGTTCGAGGTCAAGATAGTAGTTACCCTGGGAAGAGGTAACTGGGAGGGCCTGGAGGAGTAAGGCGTGCTTCTGGAGAACTGGAGATATTCTGTTTTTTTATCTGGGGGCTGGTCATAGGGAATATACAGTGTGTGACAAGAACTGAACTATAATGCACATTTCTTTAACAAATTTTTTTAAAGAATATCATGAAGGGTGCTTGCAGGAGTATAGGAAAAAACATTTGCAGTATGTTTAGCAGGTGCTCGGTGCATGGGAACTACTTATTAAAAGTCATTTAATTCATTGTTAATTTTTCACTTAATGGCCAGCCAATTCTTAAATGTTGATTCCTGCCCTCCTTCACCTGAGTGTAGGGAAAGCATACTGAGAAATTAAGGAGAAATACACGCATTGATAATAGTAGTAATGGGGTCTCCCTGGTGGTGCAAGGGGTTGAGCGTCAGCACTATGAAGCTGTCTGCAGCTACTGCAGCACAAGTTTGATCCCCAGCCAGGGAGGTGACCCACATGGAGCAGCAGACCTCTCCTGTCTCACCCGTTGCTCCCCTCAGCAGTGTATTTCAGTCAATCTGCCTGTTCTGCTCCCCGCTCTGTCTCTGGTGAATCCTCTCACCCCTAGCACCTTTGGCCTGTGCCCCGGTTCTTGTATGCATAAATAAATAAATCTTTAAAAAAATAATAGTAGTAATACACGTATTAGTAATAGTAATACACATATCAGAAATAATAATACTCACACACTAGTAATAGTAGCAATACTCACACTTATTAGTAATAGTGGTAGTACTTGTACATATTAATAACGTAGCCCACACATGTTAAGCACTTAGATGCATGAAGCTTGGGCCAAAGTGCTTACATTCAGCACCATGTCAAATCCTCACAGCAAATCTCCTATTTTTTGCCTGAGACCACAGAGACACGGGAAGAAAGTCACTCGCCAGGTCTCACAGTGAGGAAGTGACCGAGTTGACTACACTCAGGCCGCCTCTAGAACCCACGCTCTTGACCGCTGTGAACCGGCCCCAGCCTTCCCTCGTCCTATCCAGTGCCGTGCCCCCCACCAGCCAACACACACGCTGAGGAGAAGTGATGAAACATGCATCCGGCTGGACTGACAAACACAAACAAGGAAGTGTCGACAGCTCAGAGATGAGATCAGGGCGCGAGAGCCTCCTGTTTCCATCTTTCAATGCAGACTCCCTAATCCGAAATGCTTCACTGGGATTTACAACCCTACACCTTTGCCCATGTCCACACAGATGAATCCCCTTCGCAGCCCTGGGTTTGTGGGGGTTTCCTACTCCTGATACAAAGAACAAACATGTGAGGGCTGGGCCCCATTCTCCAGCTAGACTGCCTGGTGCCTGGGTACGGCAGCTCCTCCTGGCCTTACTCCTGACCCCTCTTGGCCGCTCAGGGGCCTCCCTCCTCTAGCCTCTTGGGTTTCTTACATTCTGTTTTATTCTTTTCATTTTAAGGTTCACAGAGCCTGGGCTCATGGTATTTACTCCTGGGAGAGTTTGTTGAACAATAGAGCTGTGTTGTGACACGAAGGTGAGGGGCTGGGGTAATTTAAGCAGAAATTTACCCCAACTTCTCAGAAGCTTGGTCCAGCCCTGCCCGTGGTGCCTTGTGACAACCATGCCCTCTCCTGGCAGAGTCCTGACTGTGCCTGGGACTGGGCTGTGAGTGACGTTTGCTGTCCTGTTTAACCCGGGAGGTGCATGCAGTCCACTCCGTGGTATAAGTGAGGAGACCGAGGCTGGAAAGGAGCACCTCAGGGCCCCCGTGGCATTGTCAGTGGTGGCATAAAGCTCTAGTGTAGCATAAAATGTTATTCTTACTAGTTTTCTATGTAGGTGGGAAGATTACTCTCCAAGCTAGGTGCCCTAAGCAGATTCTACTTAAGAAAATATATTTTCTATATTTGCCCTCTACCCTTCAACAAACCCCTGGGGTTTTCAGGCCCACCTGATGACCCCCCTAAAACTCAGTCCCCAACCTGACCTTGTTCCCAGGGGGCAGAACCAGCTCCTCACTTCAAAATTCTGGAGAACAAAACCCCTTGGTTAATCAGCACTGTCCTTTCAAAGTGGATGCCTTGATTCACAAAAGGGGGCCAGAAAGTCCCCCAAACACAACCGCAGTGTGATGTGTTGGAAGCAAAGGCTACCACCGACAGATTCCAGAAACACATTGGGAGGGCTTTGACATCACCAGTGTGGAAACCACTGTCTTCAGTTGTGGGCAGCAGCTTGTCCTTCCATGCTTGCTGAGGCCCTTCAGACCTGCAGGGCCAGTGGAACAGCAGCACTTGGGGCTTCAAGGAAGAGCAGCTTCAACAGAAACAGCAAGAAGGTTTTTGAATTTCCAAAGCAGTAGTGATGGAACAGAGCAGGGGCTGCTCAAATGTGTGGGGGAAGCAAGGTGTGACCCTAAAAGAATAGCACAAAGGTGTGACTCTAAAAGAAGAGCACAATGGAATTGCTCTGTATCTGGACTAGTCTGGTGGTTCCATAAAACTATGCATGTGTTAAAATCATAGAACTGTACCCAAAAAGCCAATCTGACTATTAGTAAATTTTTTTCAGCCTGGGCTTTTCAACTTCAACTCTGGACATAAGAGACATCAAGAACTGCACATACATAATGAGATGAAGAAAGGTTTCTTAGCCCCAGACTAGAAAATTCCTCATGCTATGGCTGGTGGAGTGTGAGTGTCCAAAGGGAATAGAAGAGAACATAGTTCTAGGGGGTTCTGAGCAGTGCCCCATGCCCTTGCTACTCCCCAGGCAAACCTTGGCATGGGACCCAGGCAAACCTTGGCAGACAAAGGAAACCCCATGTATGCAGGATTCAAGAAGAGAGGTGTCTGTGCCCATGCCCCCCTCCAGAGCCAGGAGATGTGACAAGACCCCAGGGAGAGATGGTTAGTTGGAGGATCTAGGTGGATTCAGACAGATGAAGTGGGCAGCACCTCCCCACCCCCAGTCAACCCCTACCCCAGGGCCTGCCTGATGCTCACAGAATTGGAAAACAGCACAAGGACTCTGGGTGTTTAACAAGGGAGTAGAAAATAAATGCTAAATCCAAAATGACCTTTCAGACAAGAGGGAGGCACAGTCAGCATCAATTTGGGTGGGGGGGGGCAGATGGAGGGGACTGTCCCTGCATCTCTAATCAAAAGCAGGATCAGGGTATCTCCTTCACCTATCTTGGCACAGTTTAAGCCCCAGAACAGAATTAAAATGCAAGGGAAAAGTCAGGGGGAAAAATCCAAGGGAAAAGTTCTCTTACCCAGCAAAATGGCATTGGAGATGGTAATTAAATATAGACGTTTGAAAGAAAAATCTGTGGACACGGGAAGTGATGGCCTGCGATTCACACCAGCTCCCTGGCATTATCCCCACAGATCTGTGAGGCAGATTTTATCCTCCCACTTTACAGATTAAGAAAACTGGAGTTCAAGGGGTGGGGGTGACTTGCCTGAGGTCACAGGATCAGACCTGCCTCAACATCCCCTTCCTGCCATGGCTCTACTGCCTCACCATGGTCCCAGAAGTGAGCAGCCTCTGATGTCTGAGGGACAATACTGCCCACTCCTCATAAAGCTGAGGCTCAAATACTTGATAGATGTGCATTCCTCCGCTCTCCACTTGGCTTAGGTTTCACAGGGCAAAGGCCGCTCTCACAGATGAAGACCCGACCTCACCATGTTCACATCTGTGCAATAAACTCCAGAGGCCCTAGTGATGGGCACAAAGGCCCATGGCTTCATGTGGGGAAGGGAAGAAGGAAGGGTAGAGGCAGAGACCACTGGATGCCACCAGATGTCTCAGGCCTGGGAGGATAGAAAAGTGAAATTTCACAGGAGTGTAAATTCACGGAGGTGGGAAAGCAAAGTGGCCAGGGAGCATGCAGAAGGGGTCTTCATTGTCAGCAGTGATTTAGAGAAGGGAGCAAGTATGAGCACCTAGTCCTGTGAGCACCACCAAGCCTCAGTTTTCCCCTTGTAAAATGGGGGTACCAGTGCAACCCCACACAAATGTGAGGATTCATGCAATGATGTGGATGAAAGGCAGAGTCTGGACACTTGTCCCTGGTGGGCCTCAGTGTCCTTGTCTGCACAGGAGAAGCAGCAAACCCTCTCCCCAGGAGGTGGTGAGAATGAATAGCCTCCCACACACACACATGACTGCCATGCAATGGAGACTCAGAAGATGAGAAACACCCACTTCAGAACTGAAGGACACCCTGATGTAGGGAAATCAGGCAGTTTGATTTTTTTTTTTTTTGGTCACTTTGGGAGCAAGAGTCCTCCAATTAGAGAAGGATTGGGCCAGGGAGGGGGAGCCAAGAGGTGAGGCTAAGGTCCCTTCCTGGGCGCTGGGTGACTGCCTTTCTGAGTGTCCCAAATTTGATCTTCAGGCCCCCTGGGACTGCATGCCCCAGCCTTGGTTCTGCTCATCAAACCATGAAGTCTTGAGTAACATCCCCATCTCAAGTTTTTCTCTGTTTAACTTGCTTCTCAAATGGCTCAACTGTCCCATCTGCTAATGTGATTGGCAATTATTTACTTTGGAGAGCCCTACAAGACATCTCTAGGTTGCAGAATTCAGAATTATCTAGACGCCCATCGTCTGATCACAAATTTCCTGATTCCCAGCCTATAAAAGAGGCTGCTCCTCGCAGGTACAAGCAGGAGAGGGAAGAGGAGACAGGACATTGCCGGGACCTCCAAGAGCCCAGGTGAGATCTGCCACTCCCTTCCCCTCCTCTGCCCTGGGTGGCAGGGGTGCAGGCTCCCTGCTGAGGGACGAGCAGAGGGAGACACATGAAGGATCACTCGTTAGGGGCCTTTCATGAGAAATGGGGTAGGCCATTTCCAGGGGCATGGGGATGGCTTTTCACTGTTTCCCCATGAGACCAGTAACAGCGACACAGTCATTTGGAGCAGAGAATTTGATGGTGGGACACATGGTTGCAGGTGCATCCCACTGAAACCCATCTTAGGATTGCCTCTTATACTCTAAATCAAAATCTCAATGGCAAGAGTTTTACTTTGAGGCTGCCATTGTGGATTCAGACCATCGTCCACCACCTCCTAAAATCCACTCAGTTGATGTATTTTTCTGGGACTAAGTCCTTAACTTCCATTGAATTCTTCAAAGGTCTGTTTCCTGAAAGATATTCATAGACCCCAATCAAAGTTTACCTCTTCAGGGAGGCCACAACTGGCCCTTTGGAGAAAAGCCCTTTCAATTCCAGCCAGCCACAACAAAGGTGGAGCTTTGGCCCAATCAACCAGTTCATTGAAATCTGCCCAAAGCAGCCAGGCATCGCCAAAGTGTAGGGACCTGCGCTGACTTTTGACATCCTTGTCAGTTGTCACATAGGCCGATGAGAAGGTTTGTGATATCTAGAGGGGAATTGGTGCAAAAATTGGCCAAATGTTAGGGATTGCCTCAGAAGTTCCTCCAAGTCAGCTTGAGAGAGAAGAGAAAGATGTAGAAAGAGTATGTGTTTGTGGGGAGTGGGCAGAGGAGGGAGGCTGAAGGGAGAGTTTAGAGTTGCTTCCAACCACTACCATCAATTTGCTGTGCAACCTTGGGAAAGTCACTATCCCTCTCTGATCCCTGGTTCTCCTTGTGCAATGACTTTGGATGGTCCAGACTGGACTGGATGAGACTGATGGTTACAACTGTGAGACCTCTGAGAGCCTGTGACTTGCAAGGGCTTTCACAAACCACCATGGACTGGACCCAGACCAAAGAACTTAATGAGATGGTAGCAAAGCAGTCGAGTTCCTCAACCTCAACCACTAGCGTGCTTAAGCCTTTTCATTTGCTTTGCTGGATTTAAGTCATTGCAAGAAAGTCCAGTGGGAGGGTAAGTTGGAAGGTCACTTCATTTAAACAAAGGTTTTTGGGTCAGACAGATTTGGCTTCAAACCCTATCTTCATTAGGCACTCAGGGCAAGTTACCTAAATTCCAAGACCCCAGTTTCCTTACTAGGCAATGTGGGTGATAAGTAGATACTTCTTAGGGTGTGGTAAAGATGAAATTAGTTATCGAGTGTGAAGTGCTCAGTCTGATATCTGACTCACAGGAAGGCTGAGTGTCAGGTATTACTGTTCACAGTCAGTGCTCTGAGGGCCAAGAGCTGGCGGCACACGAATTCCCCTCTGGCATCCATAACACATGTCATTCTGTCTGCAGACACCAAGATGTTTCAAATTGGGAGCCTCATTGTCTTCTGTGGGCTATTGGCCCAGACCACAGCTCTGCCCCTTTCCGTGCCCCTGGGCCAAAAGCTGCCCTTGGCTGAGGCCCCAGGCCTGACCCCGGCCCCGAATCCCACAGATCTTGTTGGAAGCTTGACAAGTGGTAAGTGAGAGTCTGTGACAACCTCCTTCAGGTCGTGTGTGCATGCATGTGTGTGTGTGTGTGCAAGCACGCATGCACCCATCCAATGGGGTCAGAGAGGATGAGAGAGGGCCCAAGGATCTGGATGTGATAGATCTCACCCCAAAACCCTACACTCACTTCCAGCTCTCAGCAATGGTCTGCTCTCTGGGGGTCTGTTGGGAATTCTTGAAGAGCTTCCACTCTTGGACATCCTGAAGTCTGGAAGACACACTTCCGGTGGCCTGCTTGGGGGCTTGCTTGAGAACGTGAATTCATTGCTCCCTATCCTGAACAACATTGTTGAGTGAGTAACCCTACAACATGGTGTGTCCCCCACCAGGGAACCCTCTTGGAGAACTACCGGCCCCAGATAATGATGCTGAGAAAGGAGAGGGTTAGCCCAGCAGGGGCCAGGACTCATCCTGAGACTCCTTGCACAGTCTGGCAGGGAGTGCAGCCCTCTGTAATTGTCCCCAACTCTGAGGCACAGCCCAGCATCATCTATAATCTACATGACAACCCTTTGAGGCCAGTTTAATAATCCCTAGTTTATATATGGGGAAACTGAGGCAGAGAGGGATTCTGTGCTCACACAGCTAGAGTGATGCAAAGTGAGGAGTCTAGTCTAATTGAGTCTAAAGTCAAGGCTATTGTCACCACACTATGGTAATTTTGTTTCCTTCACCTGTGGAATCCCTTAGAATGCAGATGGTCACGGATGTAAGCAAGAAAGTTTAAACTGCTCTCCTCAGTTACCCCACCAGTGTCATCCAGAATATGCTACCCATGAAACAGTCTAATGCAGTATTTCCAATGGACACCCGAGAGCTCTCTAACCAAGAGACAATGGAAACCTTGATGCCAGCATGTTAGCAAGGCTTGGGTCCTTGATAGGGCTGGACCAGAGCCATCGCCAAGATTCCTACCCACCCAGATGCCTGCCCCTGACTTGAAGGCAGATGAATAGCTTTGAGTTTGATTTCCAAATGTGCATGTGCTTGCTGGGCAACCTGAGACAGGGCGCGCTCTCTCTCTCCGGGCTTGGTTTTCCTCTTAGTAAAATGAGATTATGGCGTCCACAGACAGGAGCTGTTGAGAGGTCTAAAGAAGATGCAAATCCCCTGCTTCAGATTCTGACTCAGAGACAAGGCTTACTCCCATCCTCCTCCATTCCTCCTGACTTCCTGCTCCTCTGTCTCCATGATAAGCGTTGTTCTGACCCGTAATTTAAGGTCTTAACAGAATGAGTGACTCCTACCCATAAATGTTTGTGAAGGACTTACACTCAACCGCTTACCTTTCCACCCACCCATTTGTGCATATTTCCTTCCATTTAACCACTTGCTTTTCCAAGCATCCACTCCAGATCCATTTCCCAACTTCTCATCAGTCAGTGATGGAATAGCCATTATGGAATAGCCTCTTTCTTTGTAAGAGCTGTCATGTAAAGTGTAAACAGAATCCAGACAGTCTCTATCCTGCAATACCTCATAGCCTTGAGATAAGGAGAAGGCCCAGGGAGTGTCAGGATTTAACTCAGTGCAGAGATTGGGAAAGACTGATGTAGAATCAGAACCCATAGAGTTTTTGCTGCAAGACCTCTCTCCTGTCTCCTCCACCACTTCTCACTGGGGGCGCCACTTCTGGAATGGGTAACATTGAGTTAAAGGTGGTTTCCGGGTTTGGAGCTAGAGGGGCTAATGTTCTTCTTCCCACCTTTGCCTGCTGAGCAGTATAAAGATCCTCAGTCCCCACCTGCTGGAACTCGGCCTCACGCAGAGCCCTGACCGCCACCGTCTGTATGTCAACGTTCCTCTGAGCATGGTCCTCAATGTGAAAGCGTGAGTGACCCCAAGGGGGGATGGGGAGACAGCTCATGTAGGAGATCTTGTTGGCTGTGGGTAGCCAAAAGTGGGCATGGGAATCTAGAGACATGAGCTTCCAATTTCAACCCACATGCTGCTATTCTGAGTGACTTCGGGTCACTTGGGAAACTCATCTGACCTGTTGGGAAATGAGATAAGTGCAGGTGTGGGCCAGATGAAGCAAAGTGAGGTTGTCTTCCTGCCCAGGGGAAGTGTCTCCCCTTGGAAGGTGGTGGGGCTGTGTAGCTGACTATCTCCCCTGCAGGCCTGTCGTTGGAAGTCTGTTGCGGCTGGCTGTGAAGCTGAACCTCACTGTAGAGCTGGCGGCTGTGAGAAATGAGCAGGGGAAGATCCACCTGGTCCTCGGTGACTGCACTCACTCTCCTGGCAGCCTGGAAATCTCCCTGCTGGATGGGTGAGGCCAGAGGGTGCTTCTCCTGCCCAGACACCATAGGAGGAGATGGTGGATAGATGGTTGGGAAGATGGACCAATAGGAGAATAGATGAGTGGGAGGATGGAAGAGTAGGAAGAAGGATGGATGCATGAATGCATGGAAACAGGGAGGGAGGGATAGCTAAATTGTTGCTTGGCCTTCTTAGGTTGGGCTGATGAATTTTATGCTGGATTAGGTGACAAGAAATTTGAATTAAAGTCTCATCCATTCGAGGAGAAAGAGGAGAGGTAGAGGGCTCACTGTGTCAACTTGGACAGTGCTTCCCCAACTTGAGTTCAGTTTACTGAAACAGTTTGCAGAGAACTATATATGGAGCTACATCAGGGTTACTGAGATAACCCTCTAAGACAGTGGATATGATTGTCCCAGAAATGGGAAAAATATGGAGCCTACCTGGGTTACCTGTCACCAGGGAGACTGAGTCATCATAGCCTGCAGGAGTCACTCCCACTGGGGTTAACTTACTGAGCACATGAATGTGCTTCACATGTAGGATTCGCTAAGTCCTCGTGATATCTACCTGCTAAGCATTGTTACCCATGTATGGATTTTGCAACATTATACTGAACACCTGCTGTGCACTGAAACTCTGGATTATTCTACACATGTGTCTACTGTGTGCACTGCTGTGTAGGGTGTCACTGTGTAGGGTGTGTAGGGTGTCACTCCCTTTGGATAGGCCCCTTGGTGTTTGCTGGTATGTGGGTCTAGGTAGACAAGTCCCAGTTTCAATTACTTGCTGAGGCTGCAGTGGACATGGCAGTCCCTCTGCAGCCTTCTCTGTGCCAAGCCCAGGCCACTGCACTGCCCTGTGGTTTTCCTCTTTCAGGCTTCCTGCCCTCCCCTTTCAAAGCACTGTCGACAGCCTCAGTGGGGTCTTGAACAATGTCCTTCCTGACCTGGTGCAGGGCAAGGTAAATGGGGAAAAGTGGGCAATCTCCTGATCCTTGCTCCATAGAGCTTATCAGGCTGAGAGAGATCCTGGGTGAACTTTTCTGAGTCCCTCAGTTTGATAAGTAAATTCCATCCATCAATCTATCTGTACATCTGTCCATCGATCCATTTGTCCATGTTCAAATGCATCCTTCAAAATGCATATCTCCCCTTGGAAGGTGGTGGGGCTGTGTAGCTGACGATCTCCCCTGCAGGCCTGGGGTTGGAAGTCTGTTGCGGCTGGCTGTGAAGCTGAACCTCACTGTAGAGCTGGCGGCTGTGAGAAATGAGCAGGGGAAGATCCACCTGGTCCTCATTTTCCTCTGGCCCCTGCTCTAGGCCGGGCCCTGTGCTTGTCCCCAGTGCAGCGGGCATGGACTGACCCTTGCCCCGAGGAACTCCCAGTCCAGCCTTTATGGCCACAGACAAGAACTCTTCCAGCCTATGCTTCGCACCTCCTCTAACCAGAAACCCTATCAGAGTGAACAACAGCACATTATATGATTGGGTACTTCACAGGCCTTCAGTTTCTCCTTCTGCCCAAGGTGGATGTGGGAATATTCATCCATGGGAATGTTCAGAATCAAACACTCTTAGATAAAAGAAAATGACAGAAAATCTCCCCAGAGGACACATCCGGGGCTGATGCTGTTCCCAGGGTCTCCCTACAGATGTCTGATTCCTCTCTCCACCCTGCATCAGGTGTGCCCTCTGGTCAATAAAGTTCTTGGGCAACTGGACCTCACCTTGGTACATGCCATCATCGGTGAGTACCTTCTTCCAAGTCCTTGCTCCCTCTGCAATTACGTTTACCTTGATTCTCCTTTCTGTCACTCTGTGACCTTGTGACATCATTCACATCCACCCAAGGCTTGGAGTGAAAGGCTTGAACTGGTCCTCTAAGGATCTCAAACAAGGTATTTCTTTTTTATTTGGGGGACAAATAAGGACAGTGAGTCTCCTAAAGAGCATGGTCCCTGCATACCAGAGGACAGCTCGGTCCCTCCAGACTCAGCTCTCCGCATCTCGGGTTTCCTTGCCTTGAATTATCCGGACAATGTTGTATTGTTCGCCATCTGCCCTGAAATTGAGAACAGTGGGGCTCGTTGGTGGAAGGAGATGTGGCCCCCCAAGCCCTGCCTGAGTTTGGTTGATCCCCAGAGTTAGTTCCATTCCCCTGGCCCCACACCTCAGGGGGGAACATTGGCTGTTTCTGACTGCTCCACTCTGAGACCATCACTCTGGACTGTGATTGTTTTGATTTTTTGCTCTCCAGACACGCTGACCCATGGGCTGGAACTTGTCATCAAGGTCTAACCTTTCAGGAAGGGAGCCAGCATCTGCTGAGCTGGTGAGTGCTGCTCCCTTCTCCCCAGGATTTGGGGGCTGGCTGATCCCCTGGGCAGCAGCAGGGCACTTGGGACCATGATATTCAGAGAGAAACAAACAGCCACATAGACGTACACAGAGATGCACAGGGAAGTCTGTGGAAATGCTGACAGAGATGGCGCAGGCAGCTTCGCAACACAGCTGTAAGGATACACGTACACACACTCACACAGAGACACACACACTCACACAGAGACACACACACTCACACAGACACACAGACTCACACAAATGCCCAAACGTGTAGTCACTGAAACAGACATACATGCACACACTTTCACTCCAGCATGCACGCACACACACACACACACACACACACAATATGCGGATACGCCACACACAAGTACACATGGATCCACAGACACACACCCACACACTCAAACACATGCACAGGGAGCCTCGACACCAGACCTGGATTACCCTGGGGGCTGAGACAAGACCCCTAAACTTAGGGTCTCAGGGTCAGCCTTATGCCCTCCCTGGAGGGCAGGTTTGATGATAGACTAATACACCAGTATCTGTCGGGGGCCTCCCAACAGAACCATTTCCTGCTGCTCAGTCTACTCCCTGCCTGGCTTCCCGGGCTCAAGAAGGCCGCCACATCCTGGACTGTTTGGGGACCAGAGCAACCTTCTCTCTAAGGAAGCGGCTCCCTCTCCTTTCCCACTATGTTCCTTGTCAAATAAAATTGCTCTTCTTGTGCATGAAAACCTTGTCGTTCTTCACCATCCCTTGAGCTTTCATGGGCTGGAAAGAGCCCAGGCTGGGTGTTGGAACCACAGAGCAGTTTGGACCTTACCTTGGAGCCGGTAATGATCTTAAGCAGAACAGAAAGGTGTTGGGGTGAGTATGGAGTTGGGAAGGGAGGACGAGGGAGGGACCTGGATGTGTCAGTGGAGCTGACACAACCACTTACCCCACAAGAAGACAGTGGGAAGCTGGAGGATGCCCTGGAGGCGGGCGTGGAGGTGGGAGGGAGGGAGCCGAGGGCTCCTGTCCAGGTCTCAGGCTGGGGAGGATGAGCTGAGTCCAGCCGAAGATTGTGCCTTTAGCTGTGGCCACTCTGTGTGGAAGTGCCCGGGAGACCCCCAGGGACACAGGGACCCCTCTTCTTGTGCTTACTGGGATCCAGTCATCCTGGCCTTGTTTCCATTCTTTCTGCAAGAGGGCACGACAGTGACAAAAGGAAAGAGTGGGGGAGGGCAACCTGGCCCAAAGGGATCATTGCTGAGAGGCTTGAGGAGGATGGGCCTAGGGAGGAGTGAGTGGAGGTGAGCAGGAAAAGACTGCTGATGGCCTGCGTGTGAGTCATGTTTTTGGAGGAAGAATCCCAATTTTAAGAACCTCAGGAAAGGAAGTTGAAACTAAAGGGAGATAAGATTTTGAAAAATTGTATGTATGTAAGAAGGAAGAGCAGGGCTCTCCCCAGGATGGGGGGAAGTTTGCCCGCCAAATGAAAAGGAAATACCTTGTTTGAGATCCTTAGAGGATCAGTTCAACCCTTCCACTCCAAGCCTTGGGGTGGATGTGAATGACCTTTCAAGGTCAGAGTGACAGGAGAATCCAGGTAAATGTAATTTCAAGCCTTGCCCTTAAGTCTGGGCTCTGCGAGCCTGTCTTGTCCCTTGGCATCTCCTCTCATAACCCAGAGGCCACTCAGGGCTCTGGGACCCACTGGACAAGCAGCAGACTTGCCAAGAGCCTCACTGGGGAGTGAAGCCTGCAGGTCTCACCAGAACCACCAGGGGGCAGCACTGGCCCAGCAGCCCAGGGGCCCTCAGAGCAGAGGTTCTCAGGAGAAAGGAGCAAGGCAGGTTATGCCCACACCTGCCTTCCAGCTCAGCCAGTGAGGGAGAAACGACTGAGTTCTCGTCCTTACAGCACCCAGCACCCTCCACTCCATCCTTCATTTCAGCCACTACTCCCACACGCCTGGGCCACCACCTCGCATTATCCTCCTCAGTCTTCCTCGTAAAAACCCCAGATGTTTCTCCAACACCTGCCTTCATGCCCCTTCTACTCCCAGCTCCCATTCCTCCTTTTACTCACTATCTGCAACGGTAAAGACTCAGACGTGGCTCACTCGTCTGAACTGGAATCTAAGCTCTCGCTCACGAATGGGAACAGACCGGCGGCTGCAGTAACAGGAGCCGAGGACCTCAGCACCGTGGCAGTGCCCGGATTCTTCACCCGCACCTTCACTCGCTTCCATCTTGGAGCCCCACCCTGTGGAATGCACAGCCTCACGGTCACCGCCACAGGACACGGAGGGCAGCCGCATGGGCAGGACCTCAATAAGGACCCTGGGGAAGAGTGACGGCCTCATTCCCTTCACCTCCTGCTGCTCAGCCATCTTGGTGTCCTTGTCTGCTAAATAGGGAAGATTTCAGAATCCATGGTGGGGGGGTCTTTGGGGAGGCTAAACCAGCTAATACTTGTAATATTGTGCCTATCACAGGGTCTGGGCTCAGGAGACAAAGGTATTATATCCACTCATGCTAACTTTAACATCTCAAACATATTGAGCCTCACTCCATCGGTAGTGTAAAAGTGCATGATAGTGTTAGGGGGGAAATGTTAGGGGGAAAAGGATGTTCTAAAGCTAATTCCATACAGGCTTTGTGGACTCCACCCCCACCCCAGGCCAAAGCCAAAGACACTGGGAACTCCAAATCCCATCACCACCAAAGGGAAGGTGGCTGGGACCTGAGGGTGGGGTTCAGCAGCCAGGTTGGTATAAAGCCAGACACATGGGCTTTGGAGGGGTCCCCCATTTTGGCTCTCCACCAACTCGCAGCGTCCGGCCAGCTCTGAGAGTGCTTTTTGGGTTTCCAGGTCGGCGGATCAGGTAGGACGCATTAAAGACTTTATTTCCCTATTTTCTTCCTGAGTTGTACATTTTCCTTATTTCCTTTTCCCTTGAAAATAAGCCTTTTATTAACCTTTTGTGTGTGCCTGCGGTGGAGTATTCATAAGTCCCTTTAAGCGTGAGGGGGAGGACCAACAGCCAGGCAACCCGTTCAATATCGGGGCTGCCCTATAACAGCAGTACCACAGGTAGCATGCTTGTGAACACAAAACAATGTGTATAAGACCTAGCACATGGTAGGTGCTCATGAAATCTTGCTGCCCTGAAATAACCTCGAAATCTCTCTGGAAGAAATCATTGGTTCCAGTGCCCCAAGACTGTGTGCCTGCATCTATGCAGGCATATCTTTCCCTTAACAATTCTGTCCCTTTCAAAGGCAGCTTCTTGTCCTTTAAACGCTGTCCCTTTGTTCCTATGCAAACATCCCTCTTTCCGTCTTTCTCTTTCCTTAATAAATCTCTTGCCTTAAAAGGCAACTTTTGGGCCTCCCCGGTGGCGCAGCGGTTGAGCGCTGGGTTGTGAAGCTGCCCCCAGCCTCTGCAGTGCTAGTTCGATCCCCGGCTGTTCCCCGGCCACCAGAGGAAGGTCCCACATGGCGCGCAGACCTCTCCTGCCGCCCGCTGCTCCCCTCAGCAGTGTACTTCGGTCCTTCTGCCTGCTCTGCTCCCCGCTCTGGCTCTGGTGAATTCTCTCACTCTTCCGCGCTTCTGACTGTACCCAGTGTTTGGATAAATAAATAAATAAATAAATAAATCTTTAATAAATAAATAGGCAACTTTTGCTTGTTTGTGGATAAATAAATATCTCTTTCCTTAATAACCTGTCATATCTTAATAAACTGAATGGGAAACTCTGCTGAACTCTTTTCTTAAACCCAAGAACCCCACTCACTGAACCCCATCATAACCAACATTTGTTCTCTCTTCCCTACACCTCCTCCTAGTGATTAACCTTTACTTTGCAACTAATGCATTTCACTCCAACTACATTCCCAGAAACTTAGAAAATTGCTTGTGTTACATCCCTAACAAAAGTTCTCTTTACTCCTTTGAGGTTGATAAGAGCAGCAAAAGCAAACATCTTCTGACTGTTGCTGGGTGATGGCCCGGGGCACACTCCCTGCTGAGAAGGTAAAACACCTTGGCTCATGACCCTAGACTGCCCTTCCTCGGGGATGGAAACTCAAAGTCTTCCATTTCCTTCACATCCTGCACCCCCGCACTTACCTCCCACCCCTTCTATAATCACAGCTCTCCTGCCATTCAGACAGCGGGTTTTCTTAGGGTGCCAATCCTCCTGACTCCCTTGGTGGCCACGTTTAACAGACTCCTCTGTGAAAAGACATTCTCATGGTTTAGAGTTTGTCTTTCTGGGTGGCAAACAAAAGACCCGGTTTAGCTGCTTAGCCTTTGCTAGATCATGATGTGACTCGATGTCGGATCCAGAACTGCAATAGACTGGGCGTCCCTTACTTCCAAATGTTGTCCATTAACCATGAGCCAGGCTTCTTAGTTTCATCTTCCCAGTGATGAAATGTCACCTCAAGGACAGCGAATACTCTTCCGGGCCTGTACTCTGAAACACAGCTTGTCAAATTATGAAAAAATCAAAGTTTTTTCTTTGTTTAAAATGGGTATGTGTGTGGGGGGGTGCATTTTTGTGCCATTGTTGCAGGCCTGCCCTGCTGATCTGCAAGATAAGCAAATAATAGATGACCATCATCACCGCACAGTTACGTGACCTATGGCCATCATACACAGTGCTTCGGGGAGCATTGCAGCGGCCAGGATGCTGCGCCATGGGGCAGCTCCCTCGGGACTGCCATGTTCTCCAGGTGGGTGCAGTGGTCTCGTGGGTGTGAGCCTTCTGAAGCCCAAACGAGACCTGGAGAATAGGTCACCCCTCCTGCATGTTTACCCAGCTCTCTGTGCAGAAAGGAAAGGATGTCAGAGCCGTCTGACCACGCGGCCCAAGATCCTTATCTTAAAGCTGAGGAGAATGTGTCCAAAGGGGAACAGCAAATTTTCTCCCCTCTCTTATCTTGTTGATAACCAGGGAA